TCTGCTTCCTGCTCAAGGAGTAATGTTAGCTTCCAGGACTGCAAATTTAGCACCATTTCATACATGAGTATTTACCACTTTTCTGTACACCAAAAAGGAATATGATGGACTATTGGGCACAAGAGCAATTGATATAGTATTATGTAAATATGTAACCACAGTATACAATATGGATGTGGACTTATGAGAAGAGACCTTTGTGTAACATACTGTTGCAACATGGTATTACATTTGTAGTATCTGGCACTGCTCCAAGTGCTTAGTAGGCTCATTTCAAGGTCTGCCTTTTCAAGGACACAGCTCATGATTTTCAATTAATATACTAGTTTTAGTGATTCTATTAAAATCTGATAATATAAAATGTAAAAATATCCAAAAATATTTTCTGCCACTTTATATGAAAAAGAAATTGAATACAGGAGATAGAGAAAAAATAATAATAGTGCCATATCTACATTTTAGTTTTCTAAGTTAATGGCTGCAGGGTAATGTACTGCTCACTGTAGTCTTTTGAGAACTTTGTTGCATACAGATAGCTCCTTAAGTGGTCAGCCACCTACGAGTTGGTCAGAGGGCCCTACTGGCCGCACCTTTTGCCCCTCATTCCCTGAATTCGATTTTTTTTTCTTTAATGCTAGTAATGTCAATGCTGTTATTAGCCTACTGTTATTGATATTATGATCCTCATATTGTTATTAAAACAAAACCAAACAAAACAAAATAAATAAAATAATATTTAAGAATCTTTCCTTTACTCAAGGAAAAGTGAAAACAGGTGAGGTATGTAGTACTAGTAATTTACTTCTTGGTGACTAACTATTTGTGGAGCCATCTCCGTGTAAACACAATAAACTAAAATTACAATGAACATCCCATGCAAGCACACTATCCAAGCCCTAATGATACAATCTGTTTTAAACCATTACCAAAAGGAAAAGGCAATATCACTGTTTTGTGAATTCTGTTTACAAACAGATGGCTATATATGCTCAGTCACAAGTCAATTAGTAAGCCTACATGACCTCCCCATTTCTTTAGCTCTCTGAAATAAAAATCTAATGCTTTCAATATACATACTTTTGTTATCACTACAAGCATTATGATTACCAACAATATTTTTAACAATACCAATAGCAATATAGAATAATTTCTAAAAATCAAAAAATTGGGTATGCATTGCCTAATAAATGACTCCTTTGTGAGTAACAGTGAACCTTGCAATATAGTTTATAAAGCAGATGTGGGGGCTCTAAACTGTGCACTGATAACAACTAGTTAATTTCTTGAATGTAAAAGAACTTAACGTATACCTAAATCAGTACTTCAACAATGAAGGAAAACAAAAAGACAACAAACATAAAACTGACTATTCCATGGTAATTAAAGTGCCATCATCTGGGAGGATATGTTTTTTTTTTCCTGCTGTCCCTTATTTCTGCAAATATTTCTGTTAAATTTCTTACCACTGAACAATGTCTGTGATCCATTAGATAGTGATCTCTAAGGCATGAAAGTTTCAACAGCAAGCAGCCTTAGCCACTGGACATGTGCTTATCTATGTAACAAGCATATAGTTTCCATGCCCATAGTTAATCAGAATATATAATAATCTACTTCCTAAATGACTTATATCAACCTACAGGCAAAGGAGAAAATGACAAAGAAGATAAAAGATGAAGATGATCATTGAAATGGAGAAACACCATAAATTTTCAGAATACATTATTCATTTACTCAAGATTTAACCAACTGGTGAAGCGATCTCCCAGTGCCGTACCAAAGCATGTTCCCAGTGGTGTGCTAAGTCATCTTCTCTAGGAAAAAATTAGAAACAAAATAGAAACAAAAGAAACAAGTTTAACCCAGTCTATGCTCCTGACCACTGAATGATTAGGCAATGAGGCAAAATTACGTCACTAAGTCTACTTTTGAGGCTGACAGTTTTTAATCCCTGAGTGTGCCATTAGCATACATACTTACAAATTAATCATAAGATTATAACAATTAATTTAAAAAATGGTCAGTGTTACACATATGACAACCATATACGATTTCTTGCAGTTGGGTGTAAGTCACACATATGCACATGAACTTAACCTAACCTAATTGAGTGCCGCCACCTTGTTTGTTTCACCAAGTATGCCCAGAACAAGAATCGGGGGCTTTTCATAGTCACTTTCTTAGAAAATGGTGTCTTTATCTTACTTTTCTGTATCTTCCATTAGTCCTTCTCTAAATAATTCCCTCAATAGAAAATATCCGTCACTGAGAAATCACAAGAGTAGTATTCAAAATGAACCTTTATCTAATTTTTGCCTACTCCATTCTAAACTTGCTCTCCTTTATGACAAGTCTACAATTTGAAAGCCTATGTCAACTGATTACCATGGCTCCACTCTAGTAATGCCTCTGGTGAAACATACATACATAACCAAATGGCATGAAGAAATAATTGGAGCAGACTTGCCACTGCACCAGGATTAATATCAATGTTGTCCACAAAATAAAAAAATTGAGCTTTTCAATACACACATGGAAAAAATGAGCTATCAGGCCAATGTTCTTAACTCATTGTGCATTAGGGTACATGAGTGGCAATTCTCACAGGTGTGTGGCTTGTCAGCCCAGCCCACACAAAACAAGTGTGTGCAGTGTCAAGACCCTGTTTCCCCTTTTTCTGAATAAGTGTTTTTTTAATGGCATTTATGAAGGTCTATGGCTGTTATTTCCTATGCTGTATCTAACAAGACACTTCTATGACATACATGAAAACATTACAAGGGGTTAAGTTGATACTGCCATAAAATAAGGACCCCCTGTAGTTGGGGGTTCACAACCTTTTTCCTTCTGTGGCTCCCAACCAATATATAATTTTCTTCATGGCCTCACTCAGTTACTGTCATCTTTTCTGATTTAGTTATTACTAATTATGAATAATGGCATCAGTAGGTATATGACACATTATAGAAAGTTCCAATTTATTAATATGTGAGAGATAAGCATATGTAGATACTGTGGGTGAGATAAATGTCTGTATAATTCAACGTCATAATTTTCACATTGCTCCACTGCCTCCCAGAAACTACACTATGACCCCATTTGTAACATTTTGTGGTCATTTTTTTTTATATTCTTGTAATATTCCACTTTCTAAAATACAGCCTGCACCACCCACCAAAACTGGCAGAAACAGGCTCCTGAGCATTTAAATACTGTTCTCCTTGGAGCACGTGCTCTTCCATTTTAGCTAACAGACTGTACATTCCACGCTCATTTACTAATGGAAATAATACATGTGCCCCTTTCTTTGGCCACTGTGTCTAATCACCCTCTAAGACCTTTGTGCACTTGCAGCAAGTCATTCCCGTCATCCAGGTCCTCAGCCAATTTTTTCAAGGAGGCATATGCACATCCAGCCCACTGCCAAATATTTCCATGTAATGGTTACATCACCTAGAGTCTCACTTACACAACATACAGAGCAAAAAGACGCCTCCATTTCCATGGTGATGTAGATGCCATTTGGAATTCTGGTCATCTTCACCAAGGAATGAGTTAAACATTCTATTATTTTCAAATCTCGAGGAAGGAGTAGACATTCAATTATTTACAAAATCTTTTACCATATTAACAGAACATTAGTAATCTTAATCGATAGTTAATGAGAAATTTCTATTCTGCATTACAACATGGAAATAGTTGCACAACTGTCTACTTACTGAGTCTTTAATACTGATATCAATATTCTTCTTTTTCTCTCTCATTAGCTTAATGGGATAATACTACGCTTGAAACTTCTTGTCCAAGATGTACAAAACGTTATTACCATACAGAACCCCTCCTTTGGCATCCAGGACAACTGGTTCACCTCGACCATCTCACTAACCTCTGCGGTTGGACGAGCAAGTCAAGATGACATCTCAACAGTATTTGTATACAAATAATGCTAGTTGTGGACAATCATAAGATCTTGATAGGTCTTTTATGATTGTTAGCAAAGGTTATTACAGTGTTTATCAGCTGCCGATATGTTACCTAGGCATCCGAGTAGCTCCAAAACCTATTCAGTGTAAAATGAAGACACTACTAAAATAAAATAAAATATTTACTTTAGAACTGGCTGGATTTTAGATAATGACAGTCTCAAATGAATTCAAATGCAGCTTCGATGTTCTCCTGACAAGTTGTCTAGCCTAGCAAGAGGAGGATTTCCGAACATAGCATAAGGTCCACAAGAACTTTCCATTTCCATTTCCTCTCTAGTGCCTTTACTAAATTAAATCCCACAAGTCTATAATTGTAACCTTCAGAACTTGTATTAACTGGCTATGCATAATCTGTGTCAACCATAAATATAAACCAAAAACAAAGAATACAAAAATTGACGTCATCACTTTCCCGCTCGAATTTTCCCTCTCTAAGCTTCCCAGGCGTCTACCCCTTTCCTAGCAACAAGTAAGCATGGCATTACGAGGGCATGGGGGCAGGGGGGCGCGGGGGCTGGCGGTCGGCGCCGTCCCTTGCCCACCATGCCGCGGGAGATCAGCTGATCGGGGTCCTGGCGAGAAGCCGTCTCATATGACCTCATTACCCACGGGTGGTTGCCCAGTACAGTGATTTATTGAATTAGATTTCACGTGTTATCCTGCACAAAAGGTGTCAAACTCAAAGCTCTCACCTTGACTGAATCAACTGGGAACATTACGCAATGCTCCATGATTCCAGCTACAGCTCCGGCAGTCATATGAATCCCAACATTGCCAGTTGGCAAGCTCTCATAGTCGTCAAAATCCATCTCGAATGTGGTCCTTACGTTCCGAACTGTACAGCACTATCCCCTCGTGTACGGTTAGCGCACGAAACCCGGAGTATATTTAGGAGAAAGTTACGCAAGGTTTAGTGAACACGGTGATCGGAGCGGCTGCCTCCGCTCTGCACTCTCGCGGAACAGAACTGGCACCTTCCACTCCCCATCGGAAACTAGGAAATTTCACACGTGTTCCCCGCGACCCAAGACTCCCTCTGGCCCGCCCTGATGCTTCGCCGCGGTGCTGCCCTCTATATCGCATTTTATCCAGTGAGAGTGTTTTATTGCGTATTTGCTTGATGTATTGATTTTTCATTAAAACTAATGCATATTTGCTTTATTAAGAGATTACGCTATATGTACGTAACAGGTGGAATAAAAGTATATAGATGGCGCTGTATGAGATTATCTGGGATAGGTGTGTATACAGAAGTGTCTGGCAACGATTTAAAGATCATCTGTTTCACAATATCAGGATTTTTCATAATTGCGACATGTTCACATTCTTTTAATTGATTAATCTTGATTGACCACTTGTTGTGCCAAATAGAATTATACATATGGAGTAAACAATTTACATCAGTCGTACAATTTTATTTTCCTATTTGAAACAAACGTAGACCGGTTAACTCTCGGTCATAAGCAAATGAGAAAAGTTAAGAATAAAATATCTTAAATAACTGATTTGCTGGTGAATTACACCTATGACTGATATTCGGGTTTTCTTATTCTTGGAATGTCGATTTCTATAAAGCTCTAACGAAAAATTAAAGTCCGCAAGAAATTTAGCTTCCCTGTCTCAGAACCTTGTGATCCACATTGCCATACAGAAAAATCATATTTGATATACATATGCCTTATTCTCAGATGTTTAATAGGACTGTTTCTTTCCCCAGCGAGGAACGGCGTAAGGAGTATTCTCATGCCTAAATTTTAACCATACTTAACCTTACTTAGGTTGCAATCGAGAATCCTTCCGAAATATCAAAATATAAATATTTCAAAAGTGCATCTTCTTCTGTTACTCCCGAGAAATAAAATACCAAAAGTAACGCAGAGCTGTAACAGAAATGGTGACAGGGGGAGCAAGTCACCATGATGGCGTGCAAGGTTGAATGGAGGTGGCCGGCCTCCAGAAAGATGGCGGAACTGTACAGACGGAACGTTTTCTAAAAGGGAAACCCGTCTTTGCTTCTGAACAACGACCTGCATTCATCTTACATGTCATGGTTATTCTCTCTTAAAGCAATCTGTATAACCTAATCGCATACTCTCCGGGATCTAAGTGTCTGCAATTCTTCGATTATTCACTTTAGACTTAAGAAAGCACATCCGTTGGCAAACCTTAAAGCAAACGTAAATGTATAAAGTAAACTCTAAAGCTTTACTGGTACTGGTCCACATTCATGATGAAAATCGATAGGGCATTTCTGCAAAGGCACGAGTCACCGCCTTTGCAACCTGCGAATAGTTTGATGCATTTCAGAATTGATTTCAGGCGAATTTTCACCTGTACAGATTAAGGGCAAGCAAAACAATAACCATAACAAACAAAGGAATGTTTGTAATAGACGCCGGTGGCTGTAGCACGGGCGACCGGGGGGCCCAGCCGGGTTGCCTCCGTCTACCTCCATATTCAATAAACTTGCTTCCTGCCCTCTGCCATGTCCCCCGTGCCTCACCCATGCCCCTACACCCAAGCGGGCGGTGACGAAGGGTGTGGGGATCTGTGAGCCTGTGTTTGATTATGGAAGTTTTGGAAAGGGAGAGGAAAAAAAAAGAATTTTTCCAAAGGGAGGCGGGTGAGTCCTGGCCGAGGAGGTGCCATGACGCACTATTTCGCAATGGAAGCTTTTGAGTTGGGTTTTGCGCTGTCATTTAGCCAGACAATTCCCAATCTCGTGTAGCTATCAGCTGATGGGCTTTGCTGGACTCACGAATATGTAATGTACAAACAGGTGTAAGGAAAAATGTGTCTACATGCTTGTTCTTGCTCTAAATCAATTGCACGGATATCATAGTGTAGTATATAGATCGTAGTTATTATGTGAATACTTGCGCCTAGCTTATTCAACCTATGTTACGTGAATCGTGCTTCCTGCAAGTTACCTAACGGGCATAAGTTACATAAGTAGGTAAACCATCCCTGAATCCCTATTATTGCATGACATGTCGTTAACCGATTTCCATACAGACTACAAAAAAAAAAAAAAACAATTAGTAACAAATAAGAAAATGAACGAAAATTAGGTTTTATGCGGTCATCGGGGTGGTTGAGGCTGAGGACTGCCAAGTTGCAGCGCTTTAAAGGAATGTGTGAGGGAGCAGCAGAGTTGCAGTACGTCGAAGGCGCAGGAACACGGCAGCGAAAGAGACAGCAGAGTACTCGGAGCCTGAGGATGCTGCAGCCAGACTGAAAGTGAAGAGAAACAGTGATTTGTTGGAACGAAGAGGAAGGCCTGGGATGCGTGACTGATATTCAGATGCAACAGTGCAAGAAAGTGAAAGAAGCGTGTAGATATTGATTAATACTGTGATACGGTTGTTGGACAATGAAAAGAGCAAGCAAGAGAGAGAGAGAGAGAGAGAGAGAGAGAGAGAGAGAGAAGAAGAAGAAGAGAGAGAGAGAGAGAGAGAAGAAGAAGAAGAAGAAGAAGAGAGAGAGAGAGAGAGAGGAAAATTTAAAAGGGAGT